ATATTTTCAAGATATCTCAAGCCCGTTCATTGTCTCACACACATTTATTCTCACCAAATGAGACGAATGACGGTTGTACAAGTTTTCGATCTACTCAGGACTTATTTAGTCCAACAAACCCGAGGTGAGTGTCATATAAGTATTCCTCTCAGTAAATTAATATTTAAGGCCATCAATCAGTGAAAATTCGAATTTCCGGCCAGCCGTCAGTCATCCGAAGATTTTCCGTACTCCTCCATCAGGTTGGGTGAAGTTCGACTAAATATAACGAAGAGCCTTTCTCATCCTGTCATCCAACAAAAACATTTTGGTTTGTAATATATATTTATTAATTTTTTTCCACAAATTTCTATTTCTTTTCTATAGTGTGAGATGAATCGATTTTAAATAGTTATTGATGTAATAAGGTATTCCTTAAAGCGCATTTTCATCCATTTTCTTCATTTCAATCCTGCACGATAAAACAGGCTACAGCAGTACCATCTGATAATGAAAACCATAGCTGCCATCATCCAATAGAACAGTAGCATTCGCAAGGCTGTAAAGTGAGCTGTAATTGACAAATTCGGCTGAAAACAAACTAACTGTTTATCATATTTCTATTTCGACGCTCCTCGTGAACAGTTCGAAAAGTTTCCAGACGAGCTTCAAAACGGTTCATAATACTTACAAATGTATAATATGAGTATAAAGGATGTTCTCACGCAACGATGAAGCTTGAAGTGTTGGAGATGAAAGCGTAGCTGTGCACTATTTCTAATTTAATATTTCAATCTCAACTTTTAGTTTTATTCAATCACTGTTCCTCCAATATCGATGCTCTTCAATGGAATCCAATTACGGCATTTGCCTTCAGCTTTCATCATCTATTTGCACTAAGAGAATTTCAGGAATTAATATATTTCGACACAGCACATGAGGACATTAATCAATATCAATCAAATTTTGGCCGTCTCGACAAAACTTTCGAGACAAAAATATTTTACAGGATCGATCTGTGATCTTGAGAGAGATAAGGGGCGGAGTGAGCTATTCAATTGCACAGTGGCTAGTAATTTTGAACACATCAGCGTTCTTCATTCTTATCTATCTGGATGAACAAAGACTTTGTTGATCATATTGATTATTATGGAAACACTGATGAAGGTAATATTACGTCCTATTTCGACTACATTGTGTTTTTAAGAGAATTTGGGCCGAAAAAGACGCTGCCGCACAAATTTCACGGAAGCGCAATCAGTGTACCTAGAGCAAACGTTTCAAGATTCTCACTACCCTGATCAAGCAACGAAAAAAATTTTATCCGAACGACTGGGCATACCTGAGGACAGAATAACGGTTAGTTCTTTTGATGACTCGAAAAACATTTTTTTTCGCCTCAGAATTAGCTCTATTTCGATGGTTCATTCTATAGTTACTCTTTGTAAGCATGTGAACAGCCGGTTGAGAAATCTTTTTCCGTTAATGTTTACATTAAAAATGTTTTATTGTAATAGAATGTGTCGAATTTAACAGGTTTAGTATATTCTATGACAATTGAAATTAGACATCTGGATACACACAGACGTCGAGGTTGTCACTATCACTGTATTTTATTGCAATCCAAGCCGTCTATAATGGCACATGTCAGAGATGCAAACCCTCAGTTTACAACATCTTGAACTTTTAGAAATACTTTTATTGCCCCATAATAGCTCATCAACAGCATTCAACATGACGATGAGTAATACTATTTTACTAATACTATTGATTGCAGGTCTGGTTCCAGAACCGACGAGCGAAGTGGAGGAGAAAAGAACAAAAGCACAAGGTAACTTTCAATTCGATTTGCTACCAGCTGTAACCTATGGTACATTACAGAACGTGCAGTACCAGGATAAGACGTATGGAAAGGCAGCAGCACCAGATTACAGTTTTCAAATGATGAATCCATCACCCCAGGTGTACCAGACGGACTACAACACAGGGATGATGTATTTCGATCAGAATATGAAGCACCCATAAAATTTGCATATTCAGAATAGTTTATCCACAAAAAAATTTCCGCGAAAAAATTTTACGCAGAAAAATTCGCAAAAAAAAATTCGAAAATATTTATTTTGGGTTCTTGCCAGCTGCCAAAAAATCCTGGATCGTAAAATCCCGGATTAGCATATCGATTATTTGTGAACAACGTATGGAAAAATATTTTTATTAACAAGATTATTTCGAATGTTATGTTTGTAACATAATATATATATATATATATATATATATAACTTGAATTAATAAATTAAAATTTTGAAATTTTCAATTTCGGGAAAAATGCATTTCTAATCGGTGAGAGAGATCAAAGAATCTGTATAATCATAACAAGTTAAATCAAAAAAAAAAGGAGAGGGGTAAGTAGCTGAATTAATAAATAGGTTACATACAATTATTGTTGTTTGGTAGGTAAAAGGGTGTATACAATGATTATTTTGAAAAATTATGAATAAAAATCTCAAATTTGCTTTGCTAACCATTTTTCACAAGCTAAAACTCGTTTTTATTTTCGGTTTGAAGTGATTCCGTTTCCTCAGTTTGTTCCGTCTTATTTTGTAATGTCTCTTCTGAAAGACCTTCCGTAGTTCGGGGATTAAGATGTTCCATTGCAAAGCCATGTTTTCCAGCCACATTCCGATTTTCGGGAATATAAGTGCGTTCGCTTTCCACATTCGTTTCTCTTTTTCTGTTGAAACAAAGAAAAGATTAGTATCTTCAAAAGGTCATATACTTACTTGAAATATTGAAATGGTAACTTGCTGAATTGTCGTTTCACAGCATTTTGTATCTCTCCGTTCAGGAAGCAATACAGCACAGCAATAAAAATTCCCTACAAATATCCAATAAATTGAGAAAAGAATTGAAATATGTAACCTGTGAATGTTGCAGGATGGCAGACCCCAGCATATAAACATC